ATCACTAAGTAAAGGAAAGATGCTGTGTCAAATCTTGGTGCTTTCAGTTATACCTGCACACATAGACCATGGTCATCTTGGAAAACAGAGGACCTGTCTCTTTTCCCTCAAATACTGAAAGCCACCTGGGAAAACACAAAGAGCACAGCTTGATCCATGCACTCTTATTTCTAATAACTGACTGTTTATAAAATGTTCAAGCAAGGAGAATAATAGAAAGGAGGAAGCACAAATGCTTCCGTTCACTGGTTGAGGAAATAAAACTGAGGCTAGCGTGTTAACATGTGCTGTATTCCATAGCTGGTTCTGGAAAGAGCAACACTCAAACCCAGGTGTTCTACACCCCAGCCCAGCACCCAGCCACCTAGGCAGTGTTGTGGAACTTCAGTTCTTCAATAGGACCTTCTTCTTTTCACCTGGAGTGATACTCTGAGTAACAAAACAGTAGGGAAGTCTTTTTGGCTAATTCCTGTCCGTATTCCACTTCCCAGCATCCTCGTGAATCAGCCTCAGCCTTTCCAACTGAGCATTTCCTTAAGGATAATGAAATAAGAATGAGTTGAAGACAGCTCAGCTCAGATGAGACCCCCTTTTGCAAATTTTGTATATCGGCCCCAAGATAAGATGATTCTTGGGTAACTGCAATGGCCATCAATTGTTGATAAGCCTATGGGGAAAGGGTGTCACATTTTATAAACATTTCCCACCTGCCAAGAATAACAGTTCACTGACTATGGGCAGTGAAGTTTTGACTGGGAAAATAGCCTGTCTGAAGCAGGGACATTTTATTAACCTGCTAGGACTACTATGTGCTTAGGAGAGCTCGCATCTTCCTCCTGGTTTTTCTTACATCAATTTTCCCCCCTGAAAAGGTACTTTTTAATAAAGCACCGAGATCAGTGAGCACTCTCTGTAAACCAGTGTCTTCTGAAGGCCAGAGGGAAAAGCATTCATGAGTCTCTGCCCAAACATGTCTCAAACCAAAAATGCACACACAATTGATTGCTTAAGTAAATATCCAGTCATAACTATAGTTTCATCATAGCTAGTACAAATCTGTTTAATTTTGTACTAGCTATGGTGAAACTATAGTTATGACTGGATATTTACCTAAGCAATCAATTGTGTGTTCTGTTTTCATGCTTTTTAAATGATTAATCTTGAAATGCTCTATTTTTGAATATTAAATTTTACTATAGGAATAAAAGTATAATAGATTTCCCCCTTTTCGAGGTGTTCATTAGGCAATGGTTATTGTTATAGCAACTACTAAAAAGTGTTGAACTTGACAGACCTCTGATTACAAACATATATGAGAGTACTTCAGTTTACATTTTTCTCATTTGAAAAATTTACTACTCTACTTAAAAGTCATGTTATTAGCTATTGCTCAATACTGCCTTTTTGCTCAGCACAGCTCTCATTTTAGCATGTTTTGCAAGATAAATGAGTTGAAAGTAAATGTATCTTAATAGAATGTTCTTTTTTATTGCCTTTTTTACTAGATAAATAAAACTAAAATATCTTTTTGTTCTATTACCTAAAAATTTTGTAGAAAATCTCATGTTCTCTTAAAACAGAAAAAAAATATATTATTAGCTGAATATGGAAGTGCATTGGACTTCTATTATCTTTCAGAAAGGAAGAGTAGCATATTTATGTTTCATAAAATTCTGACAATTATTTTATAGCAATTGATATAATTTGATACAAGTAGTGTACTTCCAGTTTTTTGTTACCAATTATGTCCTTTTTGCTTTTAGCAATGAAATTATTTCCCATATAACATTTTCCCCTCTTCCTTCTGAAAGTAAATGTATTAAGAAACTGTGGCTTAGCAACAAGAAAAGTAAAATGATGTTTTCTTACTTCAAGGGAGCCAATGGGGTATAGTGTACTAGAAAGAGCTCTGGACTGAGAGTAAGGAAATATGGGTGCCTGTTCCAGCTCTGCTGTAATGTAAATGTGTTTTAAATGGATGGCTCAGTGAATAGACAAACAAATTCTTTGGACCTCAGTTTCCCAATTTCAAGTTTAGAACCTGGAGTGGATTATGTCTATGTCTCCTACTAGCTTAAAATCTCCTCATTCCATGTAAGCAATGTTTCCCTTCTTACTATAATCCTTTGTTGTGAAATGGTCACCTCAAGGATTGTTAGAATGGAACACATTTGGGATGTGTTAACGCAGCAACACTTCACCTATTTTTATCGCTAATCTATCTCCTACTTAGAAACATCCCTTACTTAATTACACAGGAAGTCTGGGATTGGAGGGTGGGGTAGGGGTTCAGGTTTTTAATACCTTTTCTCATGCTCTACCATGTGAAATTAGTTTCCCTGGATTATTTTGGTTCAAATCTGAAATAGAAAATTTGCATACATTTTTATACCTATCCCAAATTCATTTCTTAATTTAATGAGCCATGTAGTCATGCATTAGTTTATCTACAGAAAATCTTGCTTTAATGTTTTGAAACCACAACACTCAAACTCATGCCTGATGAGCATTTCCCAGGCCTGGTTTACTCTGTGTGAAGCTTCCTTTCCTATAAGTAACCTGCCCAGGAAAAGTTTTGAAGGACAAAGATCAACCAGAATGAGAAAAAGCTAAGTTGAGACCAAAAAAAAAAAACCCAACAGAGACAAATAGCATCCCATCTTATCCCGCATGAGGGTTTCTGGTGTGGACTTATTTTGTTTTCAATAAACTGCCAAAATATCAGATATAGTCACATTCAAATTTAACCACACCATCTGTTTAATGGATTATTATACCATTAAAATTATGTCTATGAAGAATTCTTGATGACATGGCAAATTGTAATGTGATGACTGAGGAAACTGAGAAAATAAATTTGCCACTAAAGTTTGATCTCAACTGAAGAGAAATAAAAACACCAATATATTAACGGCAATTTTCTTTACAGGATGATATTATTTTATGATAATTTTCTTTCCTGTACTTTTGCTTTTAAAAAAAAACAGCAAATCGTTTTTATTAAAAATTTACAGCATATATTATGTTGCATTTTTTTTGTATTATTACAATTTTGGATTTTCCCATGCCTATACTCATAGAGAAATGGCCCCATAAGAGGAACAACTCAGAGAGGTTCAGTTTAACCCTGATACCTGAAGTGACAGTAGCAGACCGTGGATCGAGTGTATGGGAGAGAGTCCAGTAGTGTCACTAATGGGAAAGAGAACAGCTGCAAGGCTGAGATCCCATACGCTCTCATTTCATTTAATGAGCATTTATTGAACACTGTTTATGTGCTAGATACAGCTACTCACTGGAGATCTTAGAAGAATAAGAAGACGTATCTCAGATTAAAAGGAACTGATGGTCTTTCAGGGGAAGACAGGCATATAAATCTAGGTGTGGTGAAAAAGCTATATACAGGGGTCATCAGAGCATATGGGTGGGGTGATCAGCTCAGCCCAGGGGAATCCAGAAGTGACACTTGAGTCTAGAGCTGGTCACAAGGACAGGGGCAGAGCTGGACATGTATAAGCCATTGAGCATGAAACTGCACAGTGGATTCTGGGAATTATAATTACTTCAGTAAGGGTGGGCTACAGATTATCAAAGAAATAGACAAATGTGAGCAAAGCATCAGAAGCAAAATGATAGCTCTTCTAGTGTTCAGCTTGGTACTGTGACCTTTGTCCTGTAGACCAGCCACTTAGGGGTTGAAAGCAGTGTATTTACATCAGATTTGCATTTTAGAGTGATTACTCTGGTGGTGGTATGGGGAAACAGGAAAAGGGGGAAATGCGAGGTCAGAGAGAAGCTAATGGTCTAAGCCAGAGGAGAAGCTGCCCTGAGCTTGGGACAGGGCTGGTGATCACAGGAATGAAGATTCGGGAACAGACCTAACAGAGAGGGAAATAAGGCTGGTTGCAGTGGCTCACGCCTGTAATCCCAATACTTTGGGAGGTCGAGGCAGGAGGATCACTTGAGCCCAGGAGTTTGATGCCAGCCTGGGCAACATAGTGAGAACCCATTTCTACAAAAAAAATTTTTTAATTGGCTGGGAGGGTGGCATAAGCCTGTGGATCGTTTGAGCCTAGGAATGTAATGTTGCAGTGAGTTATGATCTTGCCACTGCACTCCAGCCTGGGCAAAAGAACAAAATCCTGTCTCAAAAAAAAAGAAAAAAATAGAGAGTGGACTATAGACTTTGACCCAGTGACCTGTTGGATGTGGATCGTCAAATAGAAAAGAAATAGGAGAAGTCCTGGGATTCTGGTGTTAGTAAGTAGATACAGGAATTGTCAGAACAGGAATTATGGGAGGAGATGCTGGGAAATCATGAGTTTCAGTTTAGCACATATTTAAAGTTCTTCCTGTCCTTTCTTTCTTTTTTTTTTTTTTTTTTTTTGAGACAGGATCTCCTTCTGTCACTGAGGCTGCAGTGCAGTGGTGCCATCATGGCTCACTACAGCCTCAACCTCCCAGGCTCAAGAAATCCACTCACCTCAGCCTCCCCAGTAGCTGGGACTACAGGCCCATGCCACCATGCCTGGCTAATTTTTTGTATTTTAAGTAGAGATGGGGTGTTTCACTATGTTGCCCAGGCTTATCTTGAACTCCTGGACTCAACTGATCCTCCCAAAGTGCTGAGCCTTACAGGCGTGAGGCACTGCACCCTGCCCCATCCTTCTTTCTTTCCTTCCTTTCTATCTCTTCCTGTCTTTCTACCCCTTCCTGCTCTGCCTTTCTTCTTTCTTTCCATTTGTTTGTTCTGTCATTTAGTAAACTTTTATTAAGCCCTCACAATATACAAGACACATCCGTTGTAAACCACAACAATTTTCACATATCCTCAGCCACAGGGGGAAGAAAGGCCTTTTTATAGCCACAACTGCTGAATGTCTCTGATCAGGACATAGCTCATCAGGCGTAAGACACAAATTGCTTAACTTCTTTCAAAAGGCATTGCGTAATAGACACTTTTATATTGGAACTACCACTAATGGCCATTTTCTTTCTAGGTAGTGCCATTATTTCTGTTACATTTTTGAAAGACAATTTGAGAGCCTCAGATTTACTAGGTAAGTAATTATTTAATTCATGTAATTGCAGCGTTGCTTGATCAGGAAATAAATAATACTATCCGTAAAAAGTATGTGCAATAAAAACTGCAAACAAATTACTGAAATGGGTGTAAGTCTCATTTAGAGACAAGCATTATTCTGTCTTGGAGCTGCCATCTCTTCTCACATGAAATACTTCCATTTCTATTGTGACCACTGCTAAATGTGATCAATTTTTGCTATAGCAAATTATTAATTAATAATTATAATGAATTATTATAAAATAATTGATAATGGATTATTATATTAATCAATTGAGTGGATTATATTATTATAATGCATTGAATTATAATTTCATGTCATTTTATTATTACAATAACCCATTAAATACAAATACTTTAGGCACTTTAAATAAAACAATGCCTCCCCTCTTCCAGGGAGATCATATTTTTTTTTAAATTTGAGCTCTAAATGTGACACTAGTGTTGGTATGTTGAGCATTTGTATATTTTATAATGGGTCTTTATAATAATATTAATGTTATAAAATTGTATGAACACAATAAAATTCAATGAAAACATCTGTGTTACCTAATAGACTACCACACTCCAAAGGATATATTTGTCATATTGTTACAAGAAAGTATTGCATAAAAATGAAAACCACAAAAAATTTGCTGCACCAACCAACTACAATTTATATTTGACTTTTCCCAAAAGTAGCACAGAACATTGTTCTTAAATATTTTATTTGGACATATAGTTATTAATGGAAAATGACAGTAGCCTTCCTGGCTGTAAGAAACATTTCTGATGTATGGCAAAGCCATCATTTATGTATTGCATTTTCCAGTTATTGTTGGACATATCATTGGTGAGAAGAATTATAGAGAATCATATTTTCTTCTGTGACACAAACCTGTTTGAATTGCTGCTGACATATGATAATGAATACAAATACTTTAGGCTCCTTAAATAAAACAATGCCTCCCCTCTTCCAGGGAGATCATATTTTTTAAAATTTTGAGCTCTAAATGTGACACCAGTGTTGGTATGTTGAGCATTTGTTTTCCCTGATCATGTTTCCCTTGAGCATAATGTCTTGAAAATGTTTTCTCTTTTTCTTTTCCTCCTTGGTTTGATTCTGCTAGCAGAGTTTTTAGTCAACATTGTCAAATTCTTCATGGTTAAATGTTTTTCTAAATGCATTCATATGTGGATTCTATCTCTCCCAATATAATATTTTTCTATACCCTTTTTAATATAATGTGGTTTGTAGAATCATTTGGGGAAGATGTATGGACTCAGAAATAAGAATGGCCAATGCCTGATGCAGTGGCTGATGCCTATAATCCCAGCACTTTGGGAGACCGAGGCAAATGGATTGCTTGAGTCCAGGAGTTCAAGACAGCTTGGGCAACATGGCAAAACCCCATCTCTACTAAATATATATATATATATATATATAAAATAGCCAGGTGTGGTGGCATGCACCTGTAGTCGCAGCTACTTGGGAGGCTGAGGCAGGAGGATCACCTGAGCCTGGGAGGACAAGGCTGCAGTGAACCAAGATTGCACCACTGCACTCCAGCCTGGGCAACCTGAGTGAGACCCTATCTCAAAAAGAAAAAAAAAAATGGTAATGACCATCGATGCTAGAAAGAAACTGCATCAACTAATGAGCAAAATAACCAGCTAACATCACAATGACAGGATCAAATTCACACATAACAATATTAACCTTAAATGTAAAAGGGCTAAATGCACCAATTAAAAGACACAGACTGGCAAATTGGATAAAGAATCAAGACCCATCAGTGCACTGTATTCAGGAGACCCATCTCACATGCAGAGACACACATAGGCTCAAAATAAAGGGTTGGAGAAAGATCTACCAAGAAAATGGAAAACAAAAAAAGGCAGGGGTTGCAATCCTAGTCTCTAATAAAACAGACTCTAAATGAACAAAGATCAAAAGAGACAAAGAAGGCCATTACATAATGGTAAAGGGATCAATTCAACAAGAAGAGCTAACTATCCTAAATATATATGCACCCAATACAGGAGCACCCAGATTCATAAAGCAAGTCCTTAGAGACCTACAAAGAGACTTAGACT